CAGTCCTTCACTTCACCTCTCTTATCCTGTCCACCCTAATTTCTGTTTCTCATTTCCGCCCACAACCACTTACTTTATGCGATTCTCTTCCACTTTTTTTCCTTCCCAGGACGACTGACTTTTCTGCCACAAACATCCACATTTTTCGTTTCCCACCAAAACAAAACAAAACAAAACAAACCCCCCACCTTTCTTTTTCATTTTCTACGCTGAAAGACTCTAAATTCGAGGTTAACAGTTACCCGGATTATCAGAATGGGCTGTGTTCTTTCCAAGAAAGAAGAAGAAGAAGAAGAAGAAGATGTGGTCGCATTGTGCAGAGAGAGGACACGACTTCTTAAAATGGCGGTTGAACGCAGGTATGCTTTTTCGGATGCTCATTTGAACTACAATCACTCTCTCTACGCTGTAGCGGCGGCTATAAGATTGTTTCTAGCTCGCCATTCCTCTCCTTCTTCTCCTTTCCTCATAACTTTCCCTTCTTCTTCCTCTCACCCCACTCTCAACATTACCGACAACCAAAACTTCCTTCAACACCTACCAACTTTACCCGTCCATCAAACCCTCCCTTGCCAGCCTGCTACTTGTACTGTCTCCCTAAAAAGAGACGAACGCGTACAAGAACCAGAAACCCAAGTGACTGAGCAACAAATTAATGAAGAAGAGGAGGACGAGGAGGAAGAAGAAGAAGAAGATGATGATGATGATGATGAAGTTCTTTGTGAGCATTTTTATGATGAAGTGGTTCCTAAAATGCCGTCACCAAACATGGAATTCGGGTGGGATTTCTTCAACCCATTTGATAATGGAGTGAGGACGAGGACAGAGGAGGTGAGTGAGCTCGGTCAAAGGTACGAGGAAAATTTGAGGGCTGTGAGAGAGCAGGAGGGGATTCCAGAGCTAGAAGAAGACGGAGAAAGAGTGGTGCGTAAAGTCGCGAAAGTGGCTCATAAGGAAACTGGGGTTAGTGATGAGAAAACAGGGGATGATAAGGGTTTGAAAATGGTTGATGAACCAACCATCGGGAGGGAACTATTGGAAGCTTTGAAGGATGTTGAAGACCATTTTAGTGGCGCTTTAAATTCTGGTTTGGATATTTCCAGGATGCTAGAGGCAACTAAGGTTCAAATGCAGTCTGGTTTTGAGGAAATTAAAGGTGAATCCCTCTTTTTCTGGTCCTTCCATGGCTTTCTGTTTGACTGCTGTAGTATTATTTAGTATACTTTGCAAGAAATCATTTCCGTTGACGCAATAATGAATCGGCAAGCAAGGAACCATAAGTTCATTTATTGCAAGCAGAATCATTGACAAAAATCTTACAGTTCAGGCTGCCTTTGCTGCATGAAAACCTTTTTTTTTTTTTTACTTTTCTTATTCAATACCAATGTATGAATGTATAATTTCTAACAAATGAGTGATTCATCTGTATATACATAAAAAGAGATAGACATATATATACGTACATTTATGGGAATAACAGTTAAAAAATGTGCACGTGTCCAAAGGCAGCGTTAAGTTCTTCTTAAGTTCCTAGAAGAAAAAATGCTTGTTATTGTTTTGTCTTTGTTTTTGGTTTTTTTTTTTCTTGGTGAAACTAAAGAAGCCTGTCTTGTTTACTCAAAGTTCAGCAGTTACTTCATTCAATTGTGTATGGAATTTGTGCAGAGAAGTCGAGCAAACTTCTTCGGTCCATTACTCTGAGCAAAACTTCCTTATCCCGGTCTTCATCGTGCAGAAGTCTCCTTTCTTCTAGTTCTAGAAACTCTTCTATGTGGACCGATCTGTTTGATGACTATGGGGGAATGGAATCAGGGAGTCATTCGCTAACGCTTGAAAGGTTGTATGCTTGGGAGAAGAAGCTATATGAAGAGGTCAAGGTAATAAAATGCATCATCAACATTTGTGATATGTGCATTGCTTGTTCAATTAGCAAATTAGCAGCAAAGCAACTTATGCTATTTTAAGGATATATTCAATATCATTCTTGAAAAGAGTTGAATATTCTTCCTGAAAAAATTGATCAGTGTTTTAGTATTGATTAGAGCTGCTTGCATTGTTTTCCAAATCTCTGTAATGCTGTTAAAATTGCACATAGAGTGGAGAGAAAGCAAGGAAAAGTTACGAGCAAAAATGTTCCCAATTGAGAAGAAAAGATGGTAAAGGAGATGGACTTTGGCTTGGGGACAAAACCAGATCTGAAGTAAAGGAATTGTACTCCAGGATCTCGGTTGCAGTTCGAAGTGTAGAATCAATCTCCAAAAGAATTGAGAAACTCAGAGACGAAGAGTTGGAGCCACAACTTGTTGAGCTGCTGCATGGGTAAGGGAAGTTGAGGGATTTGTGCTTGGCCTTTATTTGGAATGATAGGATTTAGTCAATTTATGACCCCATGTGTCTGTCTTCCTCTTGCAGCCTGATGAAGAACTGGAAGATAATGTTACAAACACATGAAGCACAAACTCAAATCATGTTAGACGTGACAGCCTTCAGCTGTCCTGCTATTGGAAAGTTTCGCAATGATTCTCACCGTCTTGCCACTCTTCAGCTTGAGGCGGAACTTCATAGCTGGCATGATTGCTTTGTAGCCTACGTTTCCACTCAAAAGGCATATGTTGAAGCTCTTGGTGCTTGGCTATCTAAATTTATTGCTCCAGAGGTTGGATTCTACTCCAGTTGCAGATCTTCGCCGCTACCACCAGGTAGGATCAATGGGCCACCAGCTCTAGTAACTTGCCATGATTGGTTAATGAGTCTTGAGAACTTGCCGGTTATGCATGTAAGAGGTGCCATGAAATGCTTTGGGAAGGATATTCATGCGCTGTGGACTCAACAAGGGGTGGAGCAACACCAAAAGAGAAAGGTTGATGGGCTTGCCAAAGAACTTGACAGGCGAACTTTGGTGCTCCAGAGGGCAGAGAGAAGGATTCTTGAAGCAAAGATTTCTGGTAAGGGATCTGAATCAGACATGTTTAATGGGATTGAATACCTGGCAGAAAGGAAAAAGGTGCTGGATTTGTTCAAGAAAAGGCTGGAATCAGAGAAAGCAAAGCACCAAATTAGCATGCAAGAGACACAGCAAATCACCATAAATGGATTTCAGATGGGTTTTTCTTCTGTGTTCCAGTCATTAGCTGAGTTTTCAAAGAGTTGTGTACAAATGTATGCTGACCTTGTGAGACAGAGTGAAAATGCAGAGGTAGCAAAAGGGGAAGATAGCAACGAATCATACATAGAAGAGATTAGCTCTTATCTCACGAGTTGAAGTGGATAAAGAACTCATGCATGATGGATATCTTATATGGATTTTAGGCTCATCAGGATGTGTTAAGGAAATTTCTGCAGAATTCCTGTTGAACTATCTATGATGCATGAGTTGCTCAGTCAAGACAAGGATTTTGACTCCAGCTCCTAAATGAAAGCGGATACAATAAAGCCAACTGGATTGGGTGAGGGAGGGGAAGCTTGGAATATTACCTAAGTCCCATGTTAAGTTATGTTAAAGCTGCATAGCTAGTCTGAGACAAAGATCTCTAGCAGGCTCATTTAGTTGTAATTATCTTCGACGGAGTATGACCAACTGGTCCAGGAAACATTAGCTACCTCTAGTGTTGATTGGTTTAGATACATTTTGGCACCTAGTTATTGCCAGTACAGATTGGATAGTTATTTGTTCTTTTGACGGTCTTTCTAATCCAATTCTAGATTGTGAGACTGAAAAATGATTGCTGTTCTCTAAAAAAATTTTAGCTAAAACAAGATTTTGCAAGTTACTGGCAGATTACAATTGTGAAAGTGTAATCTAATTTGCACCTTCAAACCAAGAAACAAAGCTCCAGAGGAAGGATTTCCTTCTCGATTACAACACCTTATGAGATCAACCTCTCTTCTCCATTTTCGCTCTCTGTTTCCTCAACAACTACTTTCCTATTGTTTACATCATCAACATCAAAGCTAAAGCTATTAGCTTCCAGACATCTTAATTTCTCACTCTGAAAGGAGACACTATCCATTTCAACAAGAAACCTCTCCAATTTTACACCATCTAAGCTTACGATGCTTTGAGAATAGTCATACTCCATTGATCTATTACCAGACTCACCAGCTGATACCCGAGAAACATTCCTCGAAAGTCTCTTGCCAATGAAGCTGACAGTTGAATTAAACGCAACTTCCAACTCTTGCCACACCTGAGTCATCGTGGGTCGATCTTTGGGGTTCTTTACCACACATCTAAGACTGAGTTGTGCCATCTTCAGCATCATTTCCATGTTGCAATATCGGTCTAGTAAAAGTTTTGCATCTATGATTTCTTCAATTTTCTTGCGCTCTATACTAAGCCTTGCCTTCATTTTATTAACAAATAAGTAAAGAAGAAATTAATTTTTTTTTACAAATACTTCAAATAAACAAATCATATATAAAGATCACTCGTAACTACTACAAGTTTGATTAAATGGTTTGATATCTTTACCCATTCAATGATGTGATAATTTGGTTTGGTTCTTGCTGTATCAACAACTGGTCTAGCAGTAACAAGTTGAAGGAGTATGACTCCAAAGCTGTAGACATCAGAGGAAGGACTCAAATGAAGGGTTGAGCAATAAGCAGGATCAAGGTAGCCTGGTGTGCCTTTAATCTGGCTGCTCATCACGTGTGATTGATCCCCAACAGGTCCAAGTTTGACCAGACCAAAATCTGAAACCTTGGCTTCAAAAGTTTCTCCTATCATTATGTTGCTTGGTTTTATGTCTCTATGAATTATACTTGGCTTTACACCCTCATGCAAATAAGCAATGCCTGTCAAATTTTCCAGTTATAACTTCATACGGTCATAAATAATATATTATTTTTGTATTTTGTTTAATTTATCAAAAATAAATTTCAAATATGATTCTTTAAAAAAAAATAAATAAATAAGAACTGTTGTAACTTAATTTGATATGAGATCATAATCCATATGGGTCATACAGAAAGGACCTATCTATACCTTTTGCAGCTCCTATAGCTATCTTTACTCTTTGTCTCCAACTTAAGCTCTTCCCTCCTGTCCCTGCACACAGTATATAACCTCTTTAATCAAAGAAAAAAGATTAAATAAAGAGTAATAATCGAATGGGATTGCTCAGTTTATATGTTGTAATTAGAAATTCGAAGTTGAGTAATTAATTAGAGTTTACCCATTATATACTCGAGCAGAGAGCCATTAGGTACATACTCATAAACCAAGATTTTTTCCCCTCTTAATCCTGTTGAAGAAAAAGACAGTCAATAAGTAACATTTAATTGGTTTATATGTATGAATAAGCAAAATATATATGCATGTATATATATATATATCAGGATTAGAGTTTAATACTACCTGGTTGTTCACAAAATCCAACCAGAGCTACTAGATTCCTGTGTTTAACTTTTGCGAGAAGCCTAACTTCTGGATGAAAAAAAAAAAAAACAAATGGTAAAAATGCATTAAGGTGAAAGGTAATAAGAAATTAGGTGTGGTGTAAAAAAAAAAAAAAAAGGGTTACCATTTCTAAACTCTTGTAAGGTATGGTAAGAATTTGGGCGAGCCCTCTTGATGGCTAGTGTGCCTTGTAGATGAAAGTTACCCTTGTACACATTCCCAAATGCACCACATCCCAACAAGCAGTCTTCGCTGAAATTGTTTGTCGCCTTCTCTAGTTCCCCCAACTCGAACCCTCTCAACATTAATTTCTCAGCTTTCAACCTCCCTAACCATCCATTAACACCTCTTCAGTTACTTGCATTTCCGACACCGATCTCAATATATATGCATATAATATATGTAATTACCTTGAGTTGCGAATCGTCGCCGGATAATCGGGAGGAGTTTTCGCCTGAAGAAGAAGAAGAAGAAAAAAAAGGAAGTAGCGACGGAGAGAATTACAATGCAGACAATTAGCAGGGGGAAAATGTGTTTATGGTGTCTAGCGACGGCGCGATCAGAATTTTGAGCTGCCGTTGATGATGACTCGTCATCTGCTACCGTTGGCTGGTATCTCTTCGCCATCTTAATTTTACCTTTTTCTTCAATCAAAAATTATATTGACAACAATCACAGGACTGCTGCATTCTTCTTCTTCATATCATTTGCATGGAGTAATTTGGACTGAGAGATGAAAAGGAAAGAGAGAAAGAGGCATGGCAGTAGCAGCTAATTAACTGGATTCAATATTGGCTAGCTGCCGGCATCCAAATTTATATTCAACATGATATATAACATATTGGGGACGGCATATACGCCAAATGAATTTCTTAGACTAATTAAAACATCATGCTTAATTACAGTATTAACTTATCTAATTAGTACGTGTAGAGATACTTGCATGGATATAATTTGTAAGGCAATATTGGACTTATTGACTTACAGATTTAATTACACACACACACACACACACACATATATATATATGTGTGTGTGTAATTAAATCTGTTGATAACCCATTTGATATTGTCTTCTTGCAATTGTTTTGGCCTATTGTTCATTCGTATCATAACTATATGTTAAATTTTTAACTAAAGTATTTCATATATGTAACATCTACGTCTAAATTTTTATATGTTTCCAAGGGTTGGCAATGTCCTATTCTTCAATTTTGTATTGACCACGGGCGGTCCAAAAAGCAAGCGTATACACATATTCTGTACGTACATGTATATATGGAACGATGATAATTAAATAATTACTTAGTCCATTCCAATTATAAAATTTAAAATTAGTAATTATAAGTCGACATGAACAAATGGAGTTGAAAAACGGAAGAGTCGGCCCAACACCACTACCCACCAGCCTCGTGGGCTTGTCTGACATCTCTAATCTTAATCAAACTATTATTATGTCCATGATTAGGGATAATTACCATATTACATTTCCCAATTAAAATAAAATATAATTTTTTTAAAAAATAAATTGAATATATATATATATAATTATTCGTGACTACTGGGGTACATCATGCATGGATAATAATTATTCGATACATACATATATATATATATATAATAATAATAATTATGGCAAGCAATTATCCAGTGCTGAATTTATAATTAGTAGCATTAACAGTTTTTTTTTTTCTTTCTCATATTAAAAGATACATTTTTTTAATCTCGTTTATTTCTTTTTAATAACTAATGATCATGACAAGTCGGAGGTAGTTGGATCTAATCTACGTAAAGCATGTGTGTGTGTGTGTGTGTGTGTGTGTATACATATATACATTTTTTTTTTTGGTAAAAGAAAAGCATATATATACATATATATATATATATATATACATATATGATACAATATGTTCCGCTTTTTATTTTTGGAGATGCTATTTTTATGAAGTATATCTTAATTAGTTCAATAATGAAATATCCTCCTCATGAAATTAATGTGACCAAAATTAATTCAATTAGATATTAATTAATTAATAGTGCATATACATGTGAAAATCACATGATTTGGACTCTCTTTTTTTTTTTGGCATTAATTTCAAATATACATGAAAAATGAAAATTTAAATAAAAATAAAATATTAATTTCAATTCCAATTTCAATTCGTGTTAAATATTTTTATGATTTTTTATACAATTAAATATATAAATTATAATTATCTTTTACATATATCTTGTAACTAAGATTTATAAATTAAATGAGAATACAACATATACAAAAATGAAAGGAATAAAAAGGGTGATGCCACGGTGGGTGAAGAACACATTATTATTATTATTATTTAAAAAAGGCATGATTAATAGTGTAAAGAAAAATATTAAAGAAAGTTAAATTTTGATTAGGTAGAGTTTGTGATCCACCAAAAAGAACATGGGTAGGGCATGTTATTCTTGAATGTAGATATGGGATTAACAATATATATATATACATATATGTGTGTAAGTAAAACGGGTGAAGATATGATAATATAATACATATATATATATACGTGTGTGTGTGTGTGTGTGTAAGAGTACGTAATTAAGAATAGATAAGCTACCAAATAGCAATCTAGTAATATACATGGGCGGTTGAGACACGAATGTCAAAATTACAGGCTTTACATGGACACGAGAACATTAATGAAGTGGGTGAGAAGGAAAATCAGAATCTCCTTGGTTTTGGTTTTGAGTCATCTTTAAGCAACTAGTAATTTCTAACAATTCCTTCTGTCTTATAACTATATGTATATATATATATATATATATCTATACAACTCAATTCAAGCATGTTATATGATCAATGAAAACCTTATAATTATGCTAAATAATTTTACCACCAGCTTCTCTTGCCAATAATTTTGGCATAAATATCAGATCTATAACTAATTGGTTTTTAGAATAATAACATACAAGATTACAAAGTGATCTAAACATGGCGGTATAATCAGAGCTGCCTGCTTGTAAAAACCAACCTATCTCATTCTCAACTTCCCATAGGAGCAATAATTTATTGTCCACAATTTATACTGTACCATCTGCTTTTACAATTTTCATTTATGAAATCCAGCAACCCAGTTATGCATCCATACACACACACACACATGTATGATAACCTTAACGCGCATCTGGGTGGAGAAGTGGATAACCCTTTACCTATGGGGCTGTTGTTATTGGTGTCCTATCCTATCCATCACTTAATGAGACCGTGTATCTTGCATTAATGGCAATCAAGGTTCTGCATTTCTTCACATCTTAATTACATAATGGCTTTGGCTTCTGTAAGTATAGCTATCTTTAAACATTCAAATAAGGAATGATTAGGTAAAGTTGGTGATTTGAAATTATAACAAGTGATAGTGATTTGTACTTTGATTGTTTCTACTAATTTTGTCTCATAAAATTAATTAAAATCAAAATTAAATTGTCCACAATAAAACTAAAGCATGAAAAAATAGCAAATTATGTTAAAAATTTTTGTTTTTATTTTGAACAAATGTATATAGTTTCATATATAAATGTGGACCCAAATAATATTGTAGGAGTAAACAACACTGTAATTGGGTTAGTAGTAAAGAAGAAGAAGAAGAAGAAGAAGAAGAAGAGGAAGTCAAAAAATTTTATAGATGGGTAGAGGAGTAGAATGATACACGAATCCTGCAAGGGTGGCATACTTACTAATTACTAAAAGAAGAGAGTTAATAACTCTATAAGCAATATTTATAAAAAGAAAAAAAGAAAAGCTGTGTTTGTTTCCTAAAGTGTAATTTACAAGAAGATCAGAGATCCCTTCTGCACAAGGGACAAGATCCATGCCTGAGGAGCCACTTATCTATGCAAGGTTGGTGAAACATGTGATGGCAATGGGGCAAACTTCTCACTGTTTCGCCAAGCTGAAAGTCCTGATTACCCACAAAGAATTTCATATTTAGATTTCATTTTTCTCAGTTAATAATAATAATAATAATAATAATAAGAAGAAGAAGAATAAATCTGGCCAATTCCAAACCTGAAGGCAAACCGAACAACACACTTTTTCCCCACAACCATCCACATTGTTGTGGCTCGTTATTTTAATCTTTGGGATCTTCTCTACCGAATCTCCCGTCAACCCTTTTGAACCGCCGGTGTCAAATATGTTAGGTCCCTCCTCAAAGCTTGATTCAACAGCTCCCATCTGACAAACATACATTCACACTGGTTAGCAAATCAGGCCATTTATCAGATTGTATTGCTATACATATGTCTACATTGGTAACAATACCTGGCTTTGCACTGCACTTAGCATGGCTGGACCTATGCGTTCACGTACAAGTCTCCCACTTAAAAGGCTGGCAATCACATCAATCTACAAAATATATACATAGTGCAAGAAAACTTGATCAATTTGCTGAACTTCTAATTTCTAAATTACCAAGAAACAAAGATATGGTTGATTTTGCTCACCAAGTAGAGTAGGCAGCCAATTCCAGACTCATCAGATTGCCAAAGAACACGAGAAGATTCAAACACTTCTATTGAGAAAACAGCACCAGATATTGCACCGACAGCAGCTCCACGAACAAATCCACTCTCAGTTTCTTGGCCGATTAACGCTCCTGTCAATGCCCCTAACAAAGTGCCCACTGGGGACAAACAACAAACACTTGTCAGGCGTGAAATCAAACTGTCTTTTTGCAACACATTTTCTATGGAAACAAACAACTCAGGGTTCATGACCTATGTTAAAAATGAGCCATCATTTTGTCTATATCTTAAATCCTTCACATCAATGGCAATGCCACCCAACAAAATACTTTTGTCGCAAACATACATGTAACCTACGCTCTTCATTATACAGAAAAACAAAAATTCATGCTCTCTATAGAACCAAAATCCAGATTATTGAGAGAAAAAAGATCAAATAACATCGGCAGATCGAGAAACAAACGCCGCCCAGAAAGGCAATAACATGGAGGAACCAAATCATTACCAACCAGACGAAAGAAACGTTGCAGGAAGAGAAAATTGGAGTTTTTGAGGACTCCAAATATAATCTTCTTTAACAATCAAAAAGAATAAGAAAAAAACGAACCTAATGCAAAAAAGAAGGTTAAGATCGCGGAGAAGATGTTCCCAACAACCGCAGAGAGCGCAAAATTGCAGGCGTCTTTAACTCGTTCGACGAAATTACCAAAGGAAGACAATGAAGAGAGAGAAAAACGGGATGGGTATCCATAAGCCTCCATTATTGCAGAGAGGAAATAAGAATTGTGTTGGATGGATTTGCAGGAACGAGCTTAAGACGGATGCTTAAATATTATAGAATAGAAAGAAAAGAGAGATGGGTATGCTTAGTGCGTAAGAGAAAACTGCAAGGAGACCAAATCAACCAACTCGCATTTAAAGCTTCATGTATTTGATACAACTCTCTTTCTCTTTCTCTCTCTCTCTCTCTCTCTCTCTACATCGACCCTCGCCCCTGGTTTTCCATGAAACAACACTTTTTTTTTTTTTTTTTGTTTTTTCTCTTTTTTGTGGACGAAAGAAAATGGGAGGTAAATAATAATAAATAATATATGGGTTTAATTTAAAGAAAAAGAATTAATAGTAAAAACTTTCACTTTCGAGGAGACGAGGGAAGAGATAAAGGGAGATAAGAAGAAGGTTCTTTGACAAATCAACGTGGTTTGAAGAAGAGGATGTTCCCCGAAGATGACGAAGAGAAGAAAGAGCTCAGCTTCCACTTCTCTGCACAATGCGTATCACTCATTCAATAATTTGCCTCCTCTAAATTGCCCAAGATATTTATCCTCTCTCCTTTCATTTTTTTTTTTTAAATAAATATATTTAAAAATAAAATACATATAACATAATATAAATAATTTTTAATACTAACTTACAATCTTTTATATATAATATATATATATTTGTTACCCCTCCTCTCTGTCTTTATTTTGATTGGTTTTAAAAAAAGAATATCTCACCTTATTACTTATAATAAAAATATATATTCCTACTTCAATATTCCTACTTCAATTATTCTAACTAATATAATCTTCTAGTAATTTTTTTACTTTTTTATACGTACATATACATATAGATATGTATGATAAGTTTCACATGTATAAATCACAAGAACTTATTATATTACTCGGTGTGTATAATATAACTTAAAGAGTAATGTGCTTAGGTTTCTTGATCCTTGATCCAAGAAAAAAGAAAATGAAAAATGATGTCAGCTATGCATGTACATGTTGGTTTCCTACTTGTATCTTCTTTCTTGATCATCAAGAAATATGTATGTATGTATATATATATATATATAATATATGTTCAACTTGTCCATATTTCACCCCGGCCTTAGATTCTGATCAGTGCAATAAGAAAAATCTTAATACCCCTAACAACCAAGATTTTATGACTATGGACTTCAGCAATCAGGAAGACCGAGTATGTGTTTAACATACACATATATGCATTTACATATACATACACATACACATATACATATACATAGTAGATGGATAGATATTTTTGTATATGCATGGATTGGTTTTTATACATATTTGTGGGTGGTTAAGCTAAACAATGACTCATGATATTTGTAATGATGCAAGTGGAGTGGGTATGATATTTGCCATAAGTTTTTCTCATTACCATATAAATTATATGTGTAAATATCATTTAATTATTATACGCTATGAAATGTTACTTACATTTAATTGTACTTTAAAAAATTAAACAAAACTATATATTATTTTTTGAAAATATATAGTTTGTCCGCATAATGCAATAAAATTCAAGACCAAATATAATTTGTCTTATATTGTTTCTCATTTATTGTTGGACTTTATTTTTTTACTATATATATATATATATATATATATATTTATGTCAAACCAAATTTTTAAAAGTCAAATTTGTAGACATTCTTCTATATCATACCAAAGTTGTATTTTCAAAGTTTTCACATACTCATATTTTTATTATAAACAATGCCGTGTTGACTTTTTTTAGATATTTATTATTATTGAAAAAAACTAATTTCGTTTTATAAAAATTAATCTACTAAAATCAACGTATATATATATATATATATATAAATTGATACATGTCAGGCTTTTATTTTTTAAAAACAATATTATATTTAACACAATATATGTTATTTTTAAAATGTAAACATTATTTCAAATATTAAAATAAATTAATGTGATAATATAAATGTAATACTCAGAACTAAAATTTAGTCTAAGATTAATTTTAAAAATAAAAAAATATATACAAAAATATAATTTTTATTTAATTTAAAATTAAAAAAATAGGTATATGATGAAATTGATAATAATTTTTAAAAATAAAATGTAAATTTTGGTTCGATTGGTATTTTTGAACAAAAAATCAGAAACTGGAGATCAAAACGTAATTAAGAAAAAATATGTCACGTAAAACCGCTCAATCACCAGTTTCGACGAACCGAAGTGCGCCGCGTGGCAAGGTAAGCTAACTCGGTGCCACGCGGGAGACCATGCTGGCAATCTGCGTGCCCATGATTAGACGGTCCGGATGCTTTCCCACGCGCATAGATGGTCCAGATTTGTTCTCTCATCAGGCGCGATCAGACAGTCGCGATTAAACGCGATGAACGATCCAAATTTATTTTATCTTTAAATGCGATCGTACAGTCGAGATCAAATCGCGATGAATGGCTCAGATTCATTTTCTCTTTAAACGTGATCGTATGATCGAGATCAAACGCGATGAACAGTCAGATTTAATAAAAATGAGTATAAATATCTCAGTTCACACCGAACTCAAACTCTAGCCGCCGGCCCCCCATCGGAGAAGAAGAACCAGTTGCCAGAGAATGGAGCTAATCGTCGCGCCGCGCCGAGGCCACCTCCGACAGCCAGAAAAGGTAAACATTCTCCTATTCGCTCATAATTTGATTTTGAACACCTCCATTGCCAAATCGGAGCAAAAAGAATGGCGGATGAGCTGGAAACTACGGGTAAAGCCCGACATTGCAGTCGCCTAAAAAATAAAAAATCACCTCCGATGAGCTCCTTCCCGTTTTTCGTTTCGTGCGATTTTTCTACTATTGTATTCACCATTCTATTTTCTACAGATTGATCGAAAAAAAACTCTCAACCGCAAAGGTGAGCCGACGGAGCCACCGCACCAAAAAATTTGCTACTGGTAAGTTTTTGTTTTTAGATTTTTTTCGACCAACCGATATTCATTACCGTATTTTCTCGCAACGATGGGTATAAAACCAGCCGAAATTAGCCAAAATTGGTCAAAAATAGCCAGGCCGAAGGAAATCCCTGTTGTGGGCGGCGATACTGTCACCGGAGTGCGTTAGTGCCGCTGTGTCGGAATTCTGAAATTGACCAAAAACTATTTTTAACACTGATTTTGGGATTTTAAGAGTATTTTTAGATATGTGAATTGTGTTTTTACCTTCGCAAGAAAATTCAGAAAACTCAAGGACTGCCAGTAGGCGCAGCTGAAAGTTAGTATTTCGAACACCGATTCGAGTAAAAATTCCTTACTTTATTTCATGTTAGGAATTGAAGTCTAATTATAAATAATACTGTATTTTGCGTAATTTAGAAAATTTAGATAATTAATTACATGTTACTAATGTAGTCATAACTTGTTATTCATTTCTATTTGTCCTGTTTTAACTTATTGTTTGATTTTACAGATTTAAATGTATGATAATAGAATGGAATTGGTAAGATGATTCAGTTGTATTTTTTTGATGCATGTATTGTTTGTCTTGCGTGATTTAAAGTTAAATTATAAAATTAAAAATTAAAAATTAAATGTAAACATAAAATTGCTTGGTTAAATAAATGAATGAAACAGTTGTTTTACTGGATATCTTGGGAGATGATTGATGGACTAGGTACATAGGGAACTTTACCGTGAATGTCATTTCATACCGAACGAGGTATCGATTATTTGTATTTTGGCGCTCATACTGGACATGATATAGGGACGACCTCTTTCACCCTCATAGCGGACAGAGTATTGAGGGATGATATTCTTTGCATTCATACCTGACAGGGTATGGGGACAGTCGGTTAGTTGACATGTTTTGTTATTGATTCACGCATAGTGTAACGCCCGGAAATTTGAAAAAAAAAAACGCCACGTCAGCAGTCCCAGCCAACCAGGACCTGCCACGTGGCAAAACCACGTCGACCGGGGACGGGCCACGTTGGCTATCCGCGTACGCGTGATCGGACGGCCTAGATCAAGTGTGCGTACGGACGACCCAGATTAAAACAAAATGGACGGCTGAGATCAAAAGGCAAAAGGGTATAAATAGAACCCCCACACCTGACCACAAAAACCCTAGCCGCCTGCCCTCGCCGGAGAAGACGAACCAGACGCCAGAGACGCCGGCCGCCGCACCGGAGAGATTTTCGACCGCCGATCGAGGTAAATTTCATACCATCGACTCGTTTTTCCACGCTGATTTCTCCTGTGGCCAAATCAGAGCCAAAATCCCGGCCAAACGGTCGAAAAACAAGGCCGAAACCCAGCGGCACCGCCGCACCCCTTCTCGGTTTTTGCCTCCAATGAGGCCCTTCCCGGCCTCCGTTTGATGCAATTTTTATATCACCGTGATCACCATTCGTTTCTCTACAGGTTAATCGGAGCCGAATCACCAAAACACGAACTTCACCGGAGAGCCGCCGCACCCGAGAGCACCGCCACCGGTAAGCTTCGGTTTTCTGTAATTTTTTGGCCCCCCGAGGGCCCTAGGGTTGTTTTATCGCAAGGACCGATGCAAGTGTGGCCGAAAATGG